TTAGAACTGAACTTTGTAATGAGTACTTTATTTATTTAAAACATTTATCGGTTATACCCTTTGCATGTAAATATTTGTATAAATGTCCTTGGTAAACAATATAGTTTACCAATGTTACACTGAGTAATTATATCACAGCCATATTTTGGTTGTTCTTAACTTTCTTTGTCAACTGGCAGGAGATCCTTCTGAAATTTGTGTAATTCAATGTGACAACATACCTTCTAGGTGAAGACCAAGAAGTATTGTTACCCACCACTCTAGGGATTTCTCTGATCTGTGAGGTAAAGACCATAGATTGGTGGGATTCCTAGAGTGCCACTTGACATGTTTGATGGCAGTTCTGGGTCTTCATTAGAACTGATGCTGCATTGAGCGATACCAGTCCTGCCCCCCATTTTCTCCACTGCTCCAGTTAATGTTGATGGGAAATGTGGGTGAGCTAATGCATTTTTGTGCACTGACAGTGGACAAATGGCATCCCTAGCTTCTCCATTATAGTATAGGTGGACACTTTTTGAGGGATCAAATTGGGGCATTACCTCTTAAGGGTTTTTACAGATTTTTATTCAGACAGTAGGGTTTGGCAAGTAACTTCTCCTCATCTCACAAATCTTTCAAAAATATTTTAATTGAAAATGAAAGCGACCTTACTTTCTGTAGTGTATTCAATAGCTATCATTGAATGCATGTGTATGATGAATCACTTCATAAGAACACCATGTACTAGCCCAGGACGTGTCATCCAATCACTTCACAGCAAGCTCCCCAAGCGGGAACGCGCGTGATTGGTCATTATAACTTTAACCCTATTGGTTGTTATATCTACAGTGGGCGTGGCTATATTAGCCAGGAATGTTTAAAAGCAGGACAGCTGCAATGTTAAGCCGAGTCCTGGCTGACTGATGTTGATCCATGTTGGAAGTGAGTTCGAGTTGAAGAATAAAAGCCGCATTCTTGCTGAATCACTCTCCGACTCTTTGTTAAGTTCGCGGCTTAACACTTTCATTAACTGCAATTTCACAGAAGGCCTACAGCCCATGTTGGCACTCCCCAGGAGTCCCTTTCCCATCACATAAACACCCTTTTTTCGCGGCTTTATCCCCTTTTGTTTGCTAAACAATGCCAACCCTTCTTGGAAGAAATAGATCAGATGTCCACATTGTAGTCTGACTTTCAACCTGGTTTCAGGACACAGGCAGCCTTGTAGACTCTGACTGGGAAAGAAACAGTGGAAGTTAAACCCATTAATTCTTTCAGAAACCTTCAAAATTCTTAATTATGGAATCCTTTTGGAGTGGTCCACTGAGAGGGGCACTGGGAGCTCTGTGCTCGGATGGTTCTCTTCTCACTTGGACAACAGGTTTCAGAAGGAAACGTTGTGACACTGCTGTTTGGCCTCTAGAGTCTGGAATGTGTGGGGCCGTGTGATAGAGTCATTCTACTTCCCATGCTGTTCAATATTGACATAAAGGTTCTGGAAGAGGTTCTCTGGTGATTTAGATTAGCCCCAACCTAAATGAGATGACTGCCAACTTTCTCCTGTTTAGTGGAAGTCCTGAACAATTGTCCGAAGTTGGTAAAGAGCGATCAAACATACAGAAGCAACCTTGAAAAATGCAAACAAAATCTATTTTTTGCAAAAATATTTATAGTATTATAAGATAAGCTATCATGCAAAGTGCAAATGAAGTACAAAGTGTGTAATGACATTAAAAGACATAAAGAGCTGGCAATATAGTAGCCACATGAACCTATGGCAACCCTTTTGCTAGTATACTATAAAAGGTACAGAAGCAAAGTCAAGGTGGCGAATTATTTTTTATTATGACTAACTTTGACAACTTTAATATACATAGTGTTTGATAATCGTAATGACAGCTACATAACACTATAAAAAGGTAAAGGTTCCCTTGCTCGAAAGCCAGTCAAATCCGACTCTAGGATTGCGGTGCTCATCTCCGTTTCAAAGCCGAAGAGCTAGCGCTGTCCGAAGACGTTTCTGTGGTCATGTGGCCAGCATGACTAAACACCGAGGCGCATGGAACGCTGTTACCTTCCCACCGAAGTGGTACCTATTTATCTATTTGCAATTTCTTGCTTTCGAACTGCTAGGTTGGCAGGAGCTGGAACTAGAGACGGGAGCTCACTCCGTCATGCGGCAACCCGGGTCTCGAACTGCTGAACTACCGACCTTCCACAGCCTGCAGTTCAGCGTCTTAACCACTTGAGCCACTGCAGCTCCGACTATCTCTCCCTTATATATAAAGGCATAGTGGGCTCCAACATTCCAAAATGTACACCTTTAGTGTATGGACGCTTGAACTGTCAGTCAGAAGACGCTGGCTGGGTTGACTGGCTGCTTTGTGCAGTCCCGCCCAGCGTTTCAAGGTCTTTTGCTGCCCCCAACGAGGACCCAAGGCCCGAAGCCGGGTTCTCAAGATGGCCGCCGCCCGTCCGAGGACGCGGCAAAATAAAGGCGGGCTCATCCATGCCGAGCGGCAAGCGGCGCTTCT